TCAAACATCAAATCAAATGGCGTCTGTTTTCTTCTTCTTCTTCTTCTTCAGCCAAAGAATGTGATGATTATTTTAGCTTCGTAGTAGCTGCTGTCATTGTTGATTAAATACATTATAATGGAAAAAAAAGTCATAACATTGATCTGATTGAATAATGATTGATTCATTCATTTTTCAGGATATATTCGTGGCCACACATAAAGGTAACAAGTTGATTGAGAAAATTCAGACGATTTTTTTTTGTGCGGGAAAAATAACAAAATAAAAACTTACTCTTGAATTTATCGATTATTTCGTCGTTGTTTTCAATTTTTCTTTCCTTTCTTCTCTCACAACAAAGTGCGTGTTGTTGTCATAGTTTCGGTTATTTTCATTTACATTACAAGTGTTGGTAAAATGTAAATAAAAATAAAAATTGAAATGGAAAATAACAAACGAAATTTGATGAAAAATTATTATTGATAAATGATGTAATTTCATTTATAATTTAAATTCATTTTTGTTCAAACGAAACAAAGGATAATTTTGATAAAAGAAAACATCCACAAATACAACTTGTCAGTATGACGCTAGGCGTCATTCTGAAATTGAAACTTTTTTCTTTCTTTCTCTCGACGTTTCAAATCGATGATGATGGTGAATGAAATTTACCAATTCTTTATATGATGATTCCGCGTCTTCTGTATTTCTCTCTGTGTGTGTAGTGTTTGTGTTTAGTTAGTTGGTTGGTTGGTGGAAAAAAAATCAAACGCCGGTCAGACATGCGTACAAGATGATAATGGTGATCAAGGCAAGAATTTCATTTATTGTTTCATTTTAAATGAATTCACAGATTGCAAATATAAACATATACAACAACAACAGAGCAATCAATGAAAATAACGAAAAAATGATATTTCGGAATACACAGCGAGAGAGAGAATTTATCCAGCCAAATTAAATGAAGAGAAGGCCACTAATAAACAATCAGTGAGTAAGGAGAACGAACAAGAATCTTGTATTTGAAGAAGAAGAAGAAGAAAAAAAAATTGGCAACCAACATACAAATATCATCATCAGCATATCATATCATACGATGAACACAGGAATCAAATGAAAAAAATCAAAAACAGAATCACAGAAGAAAGAGAATCACAGAAGAAAGAGAATCACAGAATCTAAATGTTGTTAATAAAATTTTGGCAAAACAAAAAAAGGAAATTATCATTTCGAAAACAGCACAAAATAAAACAAAATAAACCCAGTGTATCCGTTTCAAATTATCCAACATTGAATACAATGGATTCTTTTTTTTTTTTTTTGCATTCCACAATTTCATTGAAAATATTTTGTACCAACCAATCATCATCATCATAGACATCAACACAAAAAGTGAATATAATTAACATTAATTATCGATAATTAATGCAAATTTTTTTTTTGGTTGGGTTGTTTTGCGAAATGTACAAAAGAATTCCAATCAAATAATGATTTTTTTCAGTGAAATGCAAAAGACATGACGATTGTTTGAATAACGTATGTGTATGGTGTATATGGAATTATCCATCATCCCCATAATCAATAAATCAATATTTGCAAGGAAGTGAAAAATGAACAGAATTTTCTTTTTACTTTTTACTTTTCTCTGGTCAACATTATTATTATTGCTGTTGTTGTTATCGATTTTTCTGTATTCTGAATTCGTTCATTGTGTGTGATTTTTTTTCCTGATATTCTCATTAACAATCAGCAATTGATTCCAGTCAAACAATAGGGAGGTTATTCACATAATGAAAGAAAAGAAAAGAAAATAATAATTTAATTACCCTATATGGAAAACAGAAAGAAGGATGCCCTATGTGATGATGATGATGATTAAATCGTTTTTTGGTAAAAAAAAGTCAACAATGAATGGATTGTTGTTTAGCTTAGCTTGGTTTGATATTATAATTGAATTATTTTCTCTTGATTTGTTTCAACTTCTCTTGAAGCCATATTTAATTTTCAAAAAAAGACTTTATCGCCATCTGTTGTTCATCAAGTGTAATAAATTGATTTTTTATTGTTTTTAAAATGTCAAGTTTTTTTTCCCATCCAAAATCCATTTCAATTTTGTTTTTGAATTTTGAAATTAAAAAAAAAAAACGAAAATCTTATCATCGTTGATCAAGTTTGTATTATTCACACACGTGAAACACACGGGATCATTCATCCATTGATTCAAAAAAAAAAAAAAATTCTGTCAATTTTTCATTTGTCAACCAAAAATATCCGATTTCAACAAAAAAAAGACTTAGCTAAGCTCTAATTGAAGCTCTTAAGTCAAGTAATTAGTCAAATGGAAAAGAAAAAGAAAAGAAAAACAAAACAGAAGAAGAAAAAGAAAACAAAAAAATGTTAATTAAAAGCTTAAATGTATCAAATTCTGTTTGTTTTTCTTCTTCAAAAAAACTAGTGATTAGCGAAGATCTTATCAAACAAACAAAAATCTTTGATCATTAATCTTTGGCTAGTTTTCGAAGAAAAATAATAATAATAAGCCACGAGAAATTTGTTTCAAATCGGGATTTCTTTTTCTTTTTCTTTTTTTGTTCAAAAACATCATCTTCAGAAAATGAGGATTAGTAATTTATTTGAGAATCTTCAATCCCAAAAACGAAATGAATACAATTAAAATTTTGCTTTGTTTTTTTNGATATTCTCATTAACAATCAGCAATTGATTCCAGTCAAACAATAGGGAGGTTATTCACATAATGAAAGAAAAGAAAAGAAAAAAATAATAATTTAACGCGTTCGCTACCGGAGATTTCGAAAAACCCATAGAACTACAGCAAATAAACGACGCATATATGCGTCGCTGGTAGCGAACGCGTTAATTACCCTATATGGGAAAACAGAAAAACAGAAAAAAGATTGATGCCCTATGTGATTATGACAATTAAATCGTTTTGCAAAAAGTCAACAAAGCATGGGTTTTTTGTTGTTATTTAGCTTGGTTTGATTATAATTGAATTATTTTCTCTTGATTTGTTTCATTTTTTTTTTCTTTTGGCAAATCTCAAATGATGCCATATTTAATTTAAAAAAGAAGACTTTGTCGCCATCTGTTGTTCATCAAGTGTAATAAATTGATTTTTTTTTTGAAAATGTCAAGTTTTTTTCCCTTCAAATTTCGTTTTTCAATTTTGAAATTAAAAAAAAACAAAAATCTTATCATTGTTGATCAAGCTTGCATTATTCACACGCGTGAAACTCGAGTTTATTCATCCATCGTTTGATTCAAAAAAATTCTGTCAATTTTTTCATTTGTCAACCAAAATATCCGATTTCATTTCAAAAAAAAAAAGACTTTGCTAAAATCTCTAAAGTAATTAGTCAAATGGAAAAAAAAGAAAAGAAAAACAAAACAGAAGAAGAAAAAGAAAGAAAAAAGTTAATTAAAAGCTTAAATGTATCAAATTCTGTTTGTTTGTCAAAAAGAAAAAACTAGTGATTAGTAAAATAAAACTCAACACAGATCTTATCAAACAAACAAACAAGCAAATCTTTGATCATCAATCTTTGGCTAGTTTTCGAAGAAAAATAAAGAAAAATAATAAGCCACGAGAAATTTGTTTCAAATCGGGATTTCTTTTCTTTTTTGTTCAAAAACATCATCTTCAGAAAATGAGGATTAGTAATTTATTTGAGAATCTTCAATCCCAAAAACGAAATGAATACAATTAAAATTTTGCTTTGTTTTTTTTGCTTTTTTTTCAGTCTCTCTTTATTTCACTGGGCAAAAGAAATGAAATCTGGATGCAAAAATATCGTTTATATGCAAAAACAAAAAACAACGGAGATAACCGCATCGAAAAAAAGCAAAAAACCCTTGAAGTGAAAACCATAAATTTTCTTTATTTTATTTTTGAAGAAAAAAAAATTCCAACACTCAACACTTTTTTGAAACTTGTGGTAAGTGTGTGTGTGTGTGTGTGGACACAGACACACATATTATCGGAGAAACGACAAGGCTAAACAACAACAACAACAACAAAATCACTGAATTTATGCAATGATTTTTCATCATCATCCTCATCATTATTATCATTTGGTTTTCCACAATCCCCTTTTTGAACATATATTATATATTTAATAACTTTAAATGATAATGTCTGTGTTGTGTGTATGGATGATGATTATGATGATTATGATCAGGATGCACCTTGGTTTGTTCACACACACACAGGTAATTCACGAAAAGGTAAAAAAAAAATTATGGTGACTTTGTTCTGATGCCGCAAACAAACATACAACAAATGAAAAGAGGCGACAAATAAGAAAGAAAAAAAAAAGTTAAGACAATCTTTTTTCAAAAAATGACCATTTCTATGATCTTCTTCTTCTTCTTCGTCGATCGACAATGGTTAGTCGGACACATCACCTTAAACTTGGGCTTTTTTTTTGTTGTTTTTTCCTTTGGTTAATTTGTCGTGCATAATAAGGTTTTTGTTTTTGTTTTGTTTTTTTGGTCATTTGAAAATCAGTAAAAAAAACCATTTTTTACCATTATCATAATCGAACGACTACAAGGATGTCTCTCTCTCTCTCTCTCTCTCTCACTATGTTTCTCTATAACCGAAAATACAAAATTCTTCTTCTTCTTCGATTCGATCATAAACCATCACACATCTTTGACTTTGATGCTTACCTTTTTCCACACACAAAGCATATACACTTAACACACACACACACACCAGATGAATATAATCTTTTTTTTTACCCTTATTATTTTACCATCCTTTTTTTTGTTGTTGTTACTGGCTTAAAGGATGTGTTAAAAGATGAATGAAACGAAGAAAAATTCTTTATTAATAATGATATTTGAAGGAACAAAATCGAAAAAGCTTTTGCTTGACTGTGGTCGATTGTATTGTGATGATTAGTTAGTTAGTTAGTTAGTTAGTTGATCGTTTTTTGGTTAACGTTTTGATCGTTGGTTTTTTGATTTGTTTTGTTTGTTTTTTAAATGTTCCAATAATGAATTTATTTCGTCCATGGTTAGCCAATAAACAACAATCATCAAATGAAACATCGAATGAAAATTTTCTGGAAGCAAATTCATCATCATCATCATCAACAACGACTGATTATTCATTTTATTATAATTATTATTATCAACAAATTTTAATGCAAAATTATTGTTCATTATTAATTAATAATAATAGTAATAGTAATTGTAATGATAAAAATGATAATTCCGAACATCAACTACAACAACAACAGCCAACTAATCAACATCATACTGCTGTAATGATGAATAATGGAAAAAATTCAACAACAACAACAACAACAAATGAACAACAACAACAACAACAACAAAGATTAAAAAAATTCATCTGTATTGAATGTAAAAATGGTTTCAGTAATCGTAGTCAATTGAATAGCCATATTCGTACTCATACAGGTAATGATTGATTTTTGATTTTTGATTCCAATTTTCTAATTAAAAATACCATACAGGTGAACGACCATTTGTTTGTGATTATAATAATTGTCAAAAATCATTTACAAGAAATGAAGAATTAACAAGACATCGTCGTATACATACTGGTATACGACCATATCAATGTTGTTGGTGTGATAAACGTTTCGGTAGAAAAGATCATTTAAGAAAACATGAACGTACACATGAAAGACGTTTTCGTTTATCATCAACATCATCGACAACATCGACATCAACATTATTTCATCATCAAAATCATCAAATCAATAATACCGAATCGATTATAATGCCCAAATCATCATTATCGATGGATGTTGTCGATTCTGAACAGAATAATATTTTATTGAAAATTTTTGATTTAAAATAAAAATTTTCCACAGAATTCAATCTTTTCCCACTTTTTAGCCCATGAAAAATATATGAATAAATAAAGTTTTTTTTACTAACCAAAGAAAAAATCATTCAAAATTATCTTGTCAAGATAATGAATAATGAAAACATCTTGAACAATTGCATTGATGATGAGTTGGTTTTATTTCGAAGAAACACCCTGTATTCGCAACAAAAATAAAATTATCCATCCCTACCATTCATTCATTCATTCAATTCATATTCTCAATCAATTTCTTTTCTCTCTCACTCACTTTGTCCATTTATAGTAGATATCATTCGAATAGGTGTTACATTGATTCATGAATGATTTACAATCATCATCATCGGTGATGAAAAAAATAACCCTGATGAAAAGAAAATTCCCGCCATTTAAATTAAGTTAAATCTTTCTTTCTTTTTGTTTTGTTTTGTGGGGTGTAAAAAACACCTTTTTTTTCTCATTTCCTAATCAATGTCAAATGGTTTTTCTCTCGTGTGTGTTTGTGTGTGTGTGAAAATGATGAATTGAATGCGAAAAACCGGTAACAAAACGATAATGAAGAAAGGAATTGTGCCTAAATAGACAAAGACATTTTTTTGTTTCTGGGGTATAAATCAAGTAACAATCGATGAAAACCTTTTTTACTACAAGTAATTAATCTGTGGATCAAATTAGTTCAAATGGACAGTTTTAGCAAAAAAAAAAAGATTTTTTCCTGCAACAAATACACATAACCTCTCTATTCGAAACCAGAAAAAAATGGATAGATTTTTTTGTGATGTTTTCTTTCTTTTGATGGTGGGCAAATGCATTGTATTGATACGGCAAAGTCAATGTTCGTGTTCAAAATATATATTTCATTTCGGAAAATTTTTTATATGACACTCCTTTGATGGAAATGTTTCAGGGTTAAAGAAAAAAAAATTAACCATTTTTCAAATGAAAAAATAACTGTGAATCTTTAATTATTGCAAAGACATTTTGTAATTTTTTTTATTTGTAAAATTTTTAAAACTAAATAAATATAAATAAATTTATCATTTTAAATTTCCAAAATAACTTGTATGTGAAAATATATCTGAACCAGTTTTTAATGCTTTATTTTTTGCATCAATTATTGCCTGTTCATCATAAATAAACCATGATTCGGGTAATGTTTGTTTTTCCTGATATCGGTTAATAATTTCCGAACCATATGTTGAATTGAATAAATCTTCAGCTGTAAATTTTGATTGATGTATTTCATTTGTTTTATATGAAACATATGGTTTTAATTTACAATCATCTAAATCTTTTGGTACAATAATTTCGGGTTCCATTTCACGAACATATTCAAATTTTTTACCAAACCAAATGCCTGGATAACGTATTTTCATATCATCAATACCGACGGGAAAATCATATTCATTTTCTAATAATTCTTTCGGTAATTTTGAATGTTCAAATAATCCACGTTTATTTGGTATTGGAAATTTTCGAAAATTTCTTCTTCCATTTAGAATGGATGTTGTATTGATTGAACGTTTTATTGCCCATTTATTTACAGTGATTGAACATGATTTGATGATATTTTTACAGTTAAATGAAAGCATTTTTTTTCAAAAGAAACAAAAACAAAAAACAAATTTGATTTAAAGGTTTTTGAAATATTGAAAAAACACATGTTTGCTGTGTGATATCATTGAGAGACAGCCCATTCATAGAATACGATACTTTGTTTTTTAAAAGGCGCGATTTGAAAAAACAGGAAGAAAAAAGGAAGAAATTTCAAAAAAAGCTGATGAAAAAAACAGATGATGAGAATATTATTTAGGCCAAAATTTTTTAGAAATTTAGGTTTGTTTGTTTTTCATTTGGAAAATTCATTATTAATCTAGCAATGATGATTTACAATACAAAAATTATGATTTTGTTGATTAGTGGATTTATTCAATTAATCATTTTGATTAATTCTCAATCATTATCTAACAATCATAATAATCATTCGAATGAAGGAATGATACGTTTGATTGGTGGTCGAACAATGTTCGAAGGTAATATTGAAATCAATCATTTCGGTCAATGGGGAATGATCTGTGATGATGAATGGGATTTATTGGATGCTAATGTAGCATGTAAACAATTAGGATTTGTACTTGGTGCTATTATGGCAACTAATATGAGTCGTTATGGTAAGGGGAGAAGTAAGTATCGGATTACTTTTGTGACAATTTCAATGGAAAAAATTGAGTGTTTCTTTCTTTATTTTTTCTGATTAGAACCAATTTGGATGGATAATGTTTGGTGTAATGGAAAAGAAACAAAACTTTCTTCATGTCGATTTGATGGTTGGAATATACATGATTGTGAATCGAATGAATCGGCTGGTGTTATATGTCGAGTACGATTAGATCAACAACCAATATGGTCATTGCCATCAAAACCAACGATGGTGATGAAAAAGCAACCAAAAGCGATAATGAAAAATGATTTACCCGATTTAGAACCTGATCCACTGGAAGTAGAACGTTCTGCATTCATTGAACATAGATCAATATTATTTTTACAATGTGCAATGGAAGAAAATTGTCTTTCACAATCTGCCTATGAAATTGATAAAAATGATCCAAGTATGAAGAATTCTTCTTTTTTCAAACAACAATTTTTTTACCTTTCTTTTCTCATTCTACAGCATGGATTTTCAATACAAGAATATTATTACGATTTACAGCAAGCATACGAAACATTGGTAAAAGTGATTTTCGTCCATTCCGAAAGAAAAATCAATGGTTATGGCATTCATGTCATCAACATTATCATAGTATGGAAATATTTGCTACATTCGATTTAATCGATATAAATGAAAATCATATTGCACAAGGACATAAAGCAAGTTTTTGTCTTGAAGATAATGAATGTTATGATAATGGTAATGCTAATTATGTTTGTGCTGATTACGGTGATCAAGGTATTAGTGTTAATTGTGGTAAGCATTTCAATAATATTCAATATTCATTCGATTTTTTCATAATGATGGTACTTTTTTTCAAGTGGATATTTATAAATCCGATTTAGATTGTCAATGGATTGATATAACCGATATCCGACCAGGATCATATCGAATGAAAATTATAATAAATCCAGAAAGAAAAGTAGAGGAAAAAACATTTGAAAATAATGTTATATTATGTTCATTCATTTATAATGATAATTTTAATGGTTCAGTAACAAATTGTACATTAAATTCGTTGTGATTTTTTTTCATATAAATTGTTATCAATAGATGGCGATAGTGGATTTGGTTTTCAAAAATAAAATTATTTTCAAAAAATTTCAAAAAAAATTCAAAAAAATTATTTAAAGTGCTTTTGATCATTTCGGTGGCGAAAAAAGCAATTCTGCATCCATCCATCCATCCATCCATCAAGTCAGAGCAGTCATTAGTTATTTGCATAGAAAAATCATTATTGAAAACGAAAAAAAAAATCTCAGAATAATGCTTGTTTGAATATGTCCAAATAAAAAAAAAACTTTTTTTTTTGTATTTCATTTACAAAATGGTCAAACAAACAAAAAAACGAATCAATTGAAATCAATAGTTTGTTTGTTTGATTTTTTTTTGATAAATTTTTTGACCATTTTCTTATTCTCGAAATGTGGAGCGTGTGTGTCACAGTTTTCGACAAACTTTTCTGGCTGATTCTGATTGAAGGCGATGCTTTAGGCCGTATTTCAATCAAAATTTTTCATTCAATTTTCTTCTCTCTCACAAACACACACACACACATCCATTCATCAAATATCAACAACCATAAACCAGAGAATAGAAAGAATAGGCCAGAGGATATATTCTTGGGCAAATATCTAGTCATGTGTGTGTGTGTATTTTTCATACACATAAAAATATTGAAAAGTGAATAACAACAGAACGAGGGAAAAAAAATAAGTTGCCTTTTATATTTATCATCATCATCATCATTGAAAATATACAAAGATTTGTTGGCTGGCTGGTGACAATTTTCTAAATACACACACACATACATCTGAATATATACATAAAGATTTAATAATAATCGAAATGAGAAATAAAACGAAGAGAAATGAAAAAAGGAAATACTTTTTCTTTCTTCTTTCTTTCCTTTTCTTTTTATTGTCATTTTCTTTTTTTATTATTATTGTGGATATTTCATATTTGAATTTGTGCAATGTGTGTTCTGCTGCTGCTTGTGTGTTTGTTTTGGATTCTATCTCAAATATCTTATTCTTCTTCTTCTTCTTTTACTTTTACTTTTACAAAGTTGAATATTCTTTCGTTTGTTCGTTTGTTGATTGAAGTTTTCTCCGTAAGAATAAACCACGACAATAACAAATAATAATAACAATAATAATAACTTCAACAACAACAACAGCAGCAAAAAACTATTATGGTTACGTTATTTAAAGCATTTTTTTTTGTATATGTCTTATAAGAAAGAAAGAAGGTAAGTAAATAATAACAATTTTAACAGAATAATAATAATAATAATAATATTCTATGAATTCTGCAATTGAATAATAATAATAAAAAAGAAACCAGAAAAAAAGAAAGAAAGAATACAGCTTCAAGGCATGTTTCAATCGTTTTTTCATCGTTTGTTCAGTAGATTCTTATTCAATGAGACACTCTCATTTTTATCAAGAATGCTCGCTCTTTTTACCACCCAAACACACACACTTAATGAATAAATTGTCTGATTTATTCTGACTGTGTGTGTGTGTCAAATGTAAATACGAAAAAGAAAGAAAGAAATGAAAGGTTTGCAAATGAAAAAATAATGAGAAAAAAGACCGAAATTTTCTTTGAGAGCTTCGTATACGACGACGATGACCTAATCCAATGGCAAAAGAAATCAGTTGTGCTCAATCAACAGTCAGTCAATGTTTGAAAAGATTCTTTATTCTTTTCAGAAGAAAAGAAAAATTCCGATCATTGATTGTTGTGGAAATATGAATTATAAGGCGGTAATATCATGATGATGTTTTGAACGAAAAACGAGAGAAGCACGAAATGTTCAGAAAAAGAAAAAAGAAAAATCTCATTTTTGCTTTTTTATCTAAATCTCTATTTTTTTTTGGAAAGAATAAATGCGGAACAACAGCAACAACAAAAGATTCATTTCAGAATGGTGAATGTAAAAAAAAAAAATATTAATATTAGGTTTCTGGTGGTTTGAGAGGCTGACCACCACCATAAGTCATACAACAACAACAACAAATGAAAAAGACCGATTCACACACACACACAAACATCCAAGAATCAAACAAAACAAACCGAACAAAGAATAGATATTCGGACAGGCAAAAATTGAATTGAAAAAATGGAAATAAATCGTTTGTGGAGAATAGGATAAACAACAACAACATTGGCAACAATTGCAACAAACAAAAATGAAAACGTTTTTTTTTCTTTCATTCAAATTCAATTGAATTTTGGTCAAACAATGAAAAACATTCTTTCTTTTCATTCATTTCAAATTGAAAAAATTCTTTTGATTCTTCTCACTGAATAAACATCATTCAGTCAAAATACGTGTGGATATTCTTTCTCTCTCTCTCTCTCTCTTTTTCCAAGAATATTTTTGTCAGGACAATATTGTTTTGTGAATCTAAAAACTCAACAAAAAAAAAACTGAATCAATCGATAACAATTTGAATGTTTTCCCTGTGTGTGTGTGGCTATTGTAACATTGAAAATAAAAAAAACAATCAAAATAATTTTCTCTGCGGCTTGATTCTTGATTCTTGTTTTTTTTATTCCAACCAACCAAAAATTAAATTACATAACCATAATTTTCTCACTCGAATAAAAAAAACATATCATGTTTGTTTGTGTATTATTCTGTTGATAATGATGACTCTAGGCTATATCTACTTCAATGACTAACTGACTATAGTTTGTGTTGTTAGTGTTGTACAAAGATTCTGTTAACAGAATATTATTATGATAATGATTTTATCATTTGAATATATATGAAATTTCTGTGTTATTACAAAAACATATCGATAATCAAATTGTTGTTGTTGTTGTTAGAATCACAGTCGAATGGATGACAATTTTTGGCTGCTTTTTGCTGTTGAAATGGGCAATAAAAACAAATTGATAATGACAATGATGATTATTGTTGGGCAATGATGAAAAATATATTTAATGGGCCATCATTTTGTGTGAGTGTGTGTGAACATTCAGTATTTGAAGATTCAATAAATTTTTTTTCAACTACATGAAAAACGATAACCATAACAACCATAACAACAACAACAACATCGTTTTGTGAATGGTAGATAATTTCAAATGAAAAAAAAAATCAACTCTATACGATGATGATGATAATAACAAGATTTTCATTTATTGATTCTTGTTTGTTTGTTTGATGGAATAGCGTTTGTTTGTTTGTTTGTGTTTTTCAACATTGTCACCATTGGTTTGGATTCAAATCGACAAGAATCATCGATATTCTTTCTGAGGAATTTATGGAGCCTGGACAATTGAACGAAAAAATCATTTTGAAGTATCAAATCAAACCAAAAATGATAATAAAAGAAAATTATTATCCATTTGGACTAAAACGGAATGATGAAAACTGGACCAATAAAAAAACTAAAAAGATGCTAAATGAAAACTTCAACCAACAAACGTTCATCATCATCATCTCCATCATAATAATGTTTTATTGGATGAAATAAATGAAGAAAAAAGAAAAAAGAACAGGAAAAAGGACAAAAAATGATTGAGAAAGAGAAGAAGAAGTGAAAAAACTTTATGATCATCATCCATATCATTTAAAATTGAAATGAATTAATCGAAAATGATATAAACTTTTGATCAAATCAATTGTGTGTGTGTGTTTGTGTTTTAGATTGAAATAAAATGAAAATGAAAATGAAATAAAACAAACTGAGAGAGAGAATGAAAGAAATCATGGCAGTCTCCGGTTTGGTCGTGTGTCGTTTTTTTTTCTTCTTCTCGTTATTGTTGTCATTGGACGATGGTCGATTGGTGTGTGTGTTTGAATTTATTATTCGAGATATTGACTTTCTCTCCCTCTCTCTCACTCTCTCTCTCACTTTCACTCTATAAATAATTTAACTAATCAAAATCATATGATGATGATCGTATGGATATCCGGATAATGAATATATATTTTATATGTTATTTTCGGGTATTCAGAGCACGAGAGAATGACATAAAAAAAATTGGTTCCCGAAAAATCATTGTAACCGTTCATTTTTTCTGCCCCTTCATTATTAATTATGATTATAAAAATGGGCAACAACAACAACAGAAAATATAATTGATTGATTAAGATATTGATGAAATGAGCCAAAGAGAGAGAGAGAGAGAGAGAGAGATTGAATAATAAAACTGTCAACTGTATGTGTGTGTGTGTGTATTGTAAAAAGTGAGAATTAAAATTACTTTTGTAAATTTTTTTTCGAAAATAAGCTGTTTTTGAATAAATTTTTTTTTTCTTCCAACAAAAAAAAAGTAATTCGCATTTTGTTTGTTTGTTTTTTGCTGGTAAACATTGTCGTTGTAGTCGTAGTCGTTTTACTTCGATTGAATAACATAGTTTTTTGGACGATAACGATATAACGATAATCGGATCAGCTGGATTAAGTTTTTCATCTATCAAAATGAATGGTTTAATACTGATAAATTAGTTCGACGACACACACACACCTACCTTAACACAAAACAAAACAAACAAAACAAAAACGATCCTGGAACCTGAAATACAACAATAGGGGAAACTTTCTGCGAAACTAGAATTCATGAAAATCAAATGAATTGATTATCGGTTTACTTTTTTTTTCATTTTGTCAATGGATCATAATAATAATAATAATAAACAAACAAGAAGATTATTTTCATCATAATCATCCTCAATCAACTTAATCATTCACCAACAAATTGGACCGTTTTCTGGGTCCAAGGTTTTGTTGTTGTTGTTTTGGTTACAAAACGAATATTTCCCATCAAAACTAATTGAAGAAATTAAGGAAAGAAATCAATCATTTGATGATGAATTACGTTTTTCCAAGAAAACCTTGAATGGATTTTTATTCAACAAGAACAGAAATGTCATAAATGTTGATTATGGAATTGTTGTTGTTGTTTCGGACATCATCGACAACAACAACAACAACAAACAGGAATCGATATTGAAAACTAGGGAAAATAATTGAAAAAGTATCTCCTGGTTGTTGTTGTTATAATTGAAAAAAAATCAGCAAAAATGATGATTTGAAGATTGAAATGACAAAAGCAACTTTTTGTTGTTGTTGTTGTTATGAAGATTTTTTTTTTTTTTGACAATTCGATTGTTGTTGTTTTGAATCAAAGGAAAGAAATAGATTCTGATGGATTGAAATTGATCGAACGCACGTTCTTCATCTTTCGTTTGTTGTTGTTGTTGTTGTTGTTGAACAACAACAACAACTCAAAACCGATGATTATCATTTATCAAAAAAAGAAAAAGAAAAACTGACAAGTAGGTGATAGGTAGGTGATGTGTGCGCCATGTCATCATCATTATCATTATCATCATCATCATCATATTTTTGGTGTCAGTAGAATGAACAAAACAACAACAACAATAACAACATTCAAGTATGATGGGTGTTTTTTGTTGTTGTTGTTGTTGATGGTTGTTGTTGTTGTTGTGAAATGATATTCGATTCTCTCTTTGTTGTTGTTGTTGTTTGGGGATTCTTCTTCAGAAAAAAAGTTATGAATGTGTCATATTTCAATTAAACAATTCTTTCTTTGTTCGGAATGTTTTTTCTATTATTATTCGGATTCAATCATCGAATGAATGAATGAAGAAAAGGGAAAAATGATGTTTAGAGTAGGAAAAGTGTGAAACCAACAACAACAACAAAACAAAGCGAACAAAAATCAATGGAAATAGGAATTTCATAAATAAAAAAGGGGAAAAAATGATGAATGTCATTTGAGATGTGTGTGTTTTTCTTCATTTGCATTTTGTGATGAAGTCAGAAAAAATTGAAACTTTTGAAAAAAGATTTCAATCTGATGATGTGATTTGATGTGGCAGTGGAAAATTACCAGGAAAGAAAGCAAAATCAAAATCCTTTCGATTGACACATTTGGATTATTTTTTTTGGGCAAAATGAAAAAATCCAATGAATAAATAGGAAAAAAGGAGAGATTTTCAAACAGCGTACAAAAAAAACATCCATACACAATGTTAATGATTAAACAAATTAAGTAACTTTATCAATGGATCAATCAAATGATTCTTTTGGTATTTTCCGTATATGATAATTAAGATTTTTTCCTTGTTAATGGGATTCCCTCATAGGATAATTTCTTCATAATTCTGGTTTCACTGTTATCTAATTACAATGTGTGCATGTTTGTGGTTGATAAGTTTGATATTCTTTTTACATCATTATTATTATTGTTGTTATGGAGTGAAAAGAATAACGATAATGATAATCACTTACTTAATGTCATCCATAGAATATCATTATTATTTACAAAATGTTACAAGAAAGAACATTATGATGATGATAAGAATTGAATTGTAAAAAAAAAATTCATTCAAAATGGGAAAAAAAATGTAATCCGGGAAAAGCAAAAAACCAAGATAACCAGATCTTTCCTGTGCCTGTGTGTATTCCATGTGTTTTTTGAAACCAGAAAAAAAATGTATTTTTTTTTTGTTTCCAAATGTTCCTAAGGTTGATGACCAGATTAACCACCAAGCAAGCTAGCAAGCACACCATAAACCACACGATAATTTTTGAAAAACAATGTTTGAAAACCAACAATAAAAAGCTAATTGGAGACCAATTTTCAAGGTAATTAGAAAAACGAAAAATGGTGTGAGAAAAACGAAACTTTTTCTCGAACCACAACTTTGATAACCAATATCAATCAAAATTCCCCTAATCAAATAATGATAACAACATTGTCAAAACAGAAAAAAATTATTTACAAGCTTTTCCCATAATCGGATTTGATAATAATAATAAAAAAAACTGAAATTCAATACCACACATAGTGAATCAAAACCAAATGACCAATAAACAAAACAAAACGAAAAATATTTTTCCATTTATCTTTACATTGTCTTTATGTTTGTTTGTTTGTTTATTTGCCAAATACACACACAACAACAACAAAATGATGATGATGATTATCATTTTGTCATTTTTGGTTTGGTTTTGTCCAGGAATCGAATATCATATTCCTAAAGAATGGATTATTTTCATAAATTTAGGGTTTTTTTAGCCTAATGAGATTCATTTTCTTATTCTCTTGGCTCATCATCATCATCATCATTTGATAACCATAATGATGATGATGATTCTCTTCATGTCCTTTTTTTCGATTCTTGTCAAACACAAGAAAAAAAATATGCAAAATTTTCTTTTCTTTTGACTAACTGAGATAAGATTTTTTTTCCATAGGTTTTCATCATCATCGATACAATGATCATTAACCCTTTGATGATCTGATTTTCCTTCCTTCACCATCATCATCATTTTCGTTAGTTAATTTAGAAAATTTTTTGCATTTTGCAACTTGCAACTTGATTAATTCTTTCATTTAGCAAAATTGACAAAAGTCAACAACAAAAATGAAATAAAATCGCGCCAAAATGATGACAAACAACAAACTGACATAATTCAACTGAAAGTCATCATCATTATCAGACAAAATGCGAACCACAAAATGGGAAAAGAGAGGGAGAGAGAGAGTAGAAAATGAACCAATCACAAAGAACAATGGGTCGAACCAAAAAAGAAAGAAGAAGAAAAATTTCCATACAAAATCAAAAAATACTGAGAAGAGAACAAAACAAAGCAAAAAAAAATACAATGCCCACACACTTACTGCCATACTGTTATCATTGGAAATAATAGCAACAAAAAGAAAGAGAGAAAAATGGGAATGTATTTTATATGTATTTATGGCCATTTTGAATGTGACAAGAGAATGAAAGAAAAAGAAAGAATAAAGCTAATTCAAGGAGGAGCCTATTGTATTCCATGTTATTATCATTGTGTTGATGATAAGCTTTGTTGTGTTGTTCAGAAACTATTTTTGGTTTGTTACAATTTTCTTTTCTTTTTCTCTCGACATGTATATATAATACGTCAAAACAACAACAACAGAACAGAACTTGAACTGAAAACAACATTCTGGTTAGATCGATATACCATCAAAATCACAAAACACATACACAATCGATCGATTGTTATTAAGAGTTGCTTATTGTTCGAGAAAAAAAAGATCCAAATCAAAACCTGAAACAAACATTCAGTGTTTCATTTGAATATTATCGTTTGTTTTGATTGGTGGTAATCAAGTGTTGATCTTTGATTTTTTTTTTGTTCATCAATCATCCTCCTTACGATTGATTTTTTCATCATCCATCAACCAACCAAACACATCATCGACTAATCGATTTTTTTTCATTATTGATTTGATTGATTCGAAATAACAATTTTCGTTTCGTTTTGAATGACAATTTGATTGTCTATTCGGCTATTTTTCAAAGTTACGGTGTGTGTGTTTCAAATTAAAAAATTTGTCAAAAAAAATATCGTTCGTTACGATCAAATCAACAACAGCAACATTGCTGTCATCGATATCAAACATTAACATTGATTCCTATACACACAGAGAGAAGACATTTTCCTCAAAAGACAAGCATCAATTATATTGTCATCATCATCATCGTTATGATTGTTTTTTGATTTTTTTTTTGTGGTTACATAATGATTATATGATTAGCATCATCGCAAAACAACGAAAACAGCAACAACAAATTATTGAAATCATCCAATTGTTTTGATGAATTTTGCTTTGTTTTCACTATTTACATCGGTGATGATATATATTCGCTGAAAGAAAACAGCCAAATGAAATGATTACCTTTCATTATTATATCTGACATTTAGTCATTTCGCATTGTTTTTTTCAGTTTGTTTGCTTGCTTGCTTGATTTGTTTGATGTTTTTATTTCAATCAAAACATTTTTTTTGATTTGATCATTTGAAAACTATTAATCATCATCATCATTTTCTCATCAAAAATCAAATTAACTTGTAGTGATTTCTTGGTTTTATTTTTGAGATCTTAAGAGATCAGAAGTCATCTTATTATTTTTTTTTTTGTTTCAATTTTTCCACATTTCAAAAAAAAATATATCCGAATGTTAAATAATCAACATCTAGTTGGTTTAACCACATTATCACCAACAACAACAACAACAATATCACCACCATTATTAACAATGACTATGAATACAACAAATTTATTGAATAATAAAATGAATGATCATCATCATCATCATGTTAAACGGCCAATGAATGCATTTATGGTAAATATATAGTTTTGAAAAATTAAAAATTGAAATCTTTTTCGGATAAAATTTTAACTTTTTTTAAATTTTTACTTTTTTTTAAATGAAGGTATGGTCACGTGGTCAACGACGTAAAATGGCACAAGAACATCCAAAAATGCATAATTCCGAAATAAGTAAACGTCTTGGTGCCGATTGGAAACAATTGTCTGAAACTGAAAAAAGGCCATTCATTGATGAAGCGAAACGTCTACGAGCATTACATATGAAAGGTAATAATCATTTATAATCATCATCATCATAATCATCATTTTTTTGAAAATCAAATCAAATTCTTCTTTTTCTTCTTTAAATATTGTGTATTGTCGGCAGCGGCGTCAATATAAAATGTTGATCTATGATTCATAGAGATAGAGAGAGTGCTTATGTCATTATTAGCGGTTCAATGTATCATGATGATGATGATGATGATGATGATGATGATGACTGAGAAGAGCGAGAAAGTTTTCTTTTTGTTGAAATAAAAAGAACCGAGAAACAAAACAAAAAAATACATAACCTGTCATTACCAGATAGCGACAAGGGCCAAGATTATTGTTTTTTTTTCCGATAGATGAATGAGAGAGAGAAACAACAACAGCAAAAATCATTGTTTTAACTAACATTTGAAACTAAGAAAACAGAAAGAGAATTCAATTTGAATGTAACCAACAATTTTGCAAAACCAAAAAAAAACTTGAAAAGATAGTAAAACTTATGAATGTTTCCATTTTTCTTTCTTTCGTTTTTAAAATAGAACATCCTGATTATAAATATAGACCAAGACGTAAACCTAAACCATCATCATCAACAACAACAACAACAAATCAATCAACAACAACAAATAATTCAACAACAACAACAAATTTGAAAAAAGATTTAATTAATCAGCAACAATTAATATCACCAAATTCATTATATACACATCAACAACAACAACAACAACATCCGACAACAACAACAACAATAAATAATCATTCATCATATAATTTATCAGCATTTGATCCATTACGTGGTTTAACAACAGCAAATGTATTTACAAATGGTCATCATCTTAATCATCATGGACATCATAATCCGCATCACCATCATGGTCAGCAACAACAACAACAAATTCATAATGCCCATTTACAACAAAATGGTTATTTAATTAATGATGATCATCCTCATCTTCATCAACAACAACAAGGCCAGGGAAGCAATGAATCGGAAAAAGCAGCTACAGCACGAACATTTCCACTTGGTGTATCATCATCATCATCAATGTATCAGGCACCAATGAATCAAATGGCAATGGCTGCAGCAGCAGCCGCTGCTGCTGCTGCTGCTGCTTCATCAAATAAATTACCATCATTAAGTCCTGGATTAAAACAAAATCAATCTACAAATACAGCAAATACAAATAATAATGATATATTTAATAATTTTTTTAATAATCATCCAGCATCATCATTTTATAATACAAATTCATTATTAACAACATTATCGAATGCTGCACATGCAAATTCAAATTCAAATAATAATCCATATAATCAAATGGTTACTAATTATGGTCTGACAAATCCATCATCATGTATTACAACATCATCATCAGCAACCGCATCACCATATTCAACATTAGCACAAACAATGCAAACATCGGCCGCAGCGGCTGCTGCAGCCGCTGCAGCAGCATCATTTAATGATTTTCGTAATAATCCATTTGCAGCAGCATATCTGATGATGAAACCAGAAGATCGTTTATCATCATTAGCTAAATTATCACCACCATCACAGTTAGTTTAACCTAACTGTGATTATCATCCATCAATATTCTTTCTCTCTCACCCTCTATATAATTATCTCTTCTTTTTTTTCTTTTAAAAAACCATCATCATTCAAACACCAACCAACCAAACATTAATGACAATTTTTATTTGTTTTTACAACAGCAACATTTTAAACACCTACGCACACACACATATCATTTTATTGAATATTATTACTTGAAGGTGAAGAACCCCCCCAAAAAAAACTATGTTGATTAGTCAATTTTGTCTGTGTTTTCATTCATTCATTTCATTCCGATTTTTTTTGTGTATAAAATTCCTTACATGTTTTTTTCTGGCCCCCATCAATGTAGTATGGTAAAAAATGATGTCAGTTTTGTCATTGATTTTATGATTCTCCGAAAAAAACAGAATTGAAATAAAAAATAAAACAGAATTTTTCCAATTCAAAAAACCCAGGTTGTTTTGGTTTGAGCAATTTTGTTTGATTGAATGAATGAAGGTCGGATCTTTGAAATCATTCAATCATCAAAGAAAATCGACCAAATTCACTTTGAGAAAGAGTGCCAACCAACCAGCCAGCAAAAACACTTCAATGATGGTGGCCATCGTTGTTTTCTTGTTTCTGGTTTTTGTTTTTCAAATTTATAATTAGCGGTTGAAAAGTAACAACAACAACAACAAAAAAGTGTTGAAAAGAAGCTACAAACAAACAAGCAAAAAATAATGATTGATTCTTTTCACTCATCAAAAGAACAACAAATGGATTTTCCGCCTTTGGTCAGTCAATGGCAAACAAAACAAAGCAAAGCAAAACAGTGTGGCCAGTTGAAAATATTGAAAATTCAAATCAGATTTTTTCCATCCAGATAAATAATGAAAATTGTTATTTAATAATCAAAATGAATGTTGTTTTTTTTATAAACTTTGTTTATACATTTCATCATTACAATTATATTGTGTTTGTGTTTGCGTTTGCGTTTGTTTTGTTTGTTTGTTCAATTGGATTATCATTCATTTGAAATGAATGAAATGATATTTGTGTGGTGGTGGTGACCCAAAGTCTTTGTCAATTTTGATAAATAACAACAATAAAGATAACAACAACAAAAGGAAGAAATCAGGGACAAATAAGAAAAGAAAATGAATGGAAAAAAAAGAAGTAAATAAATAACTAATCACATATCTCTCCTATCACCAAATAAAAGAAAAGAAAAGAAAAAAAAACATTGAACAATTCAAATGATTATGATTATAATGATAATGGTAATCTGACCATAAGATAATGTTTTTTATGTAAAATATCTCTCTCTCTCTCTCTCTCTCTCTCTCTCTCTCTCTCTCTCTGGCTCATTCACTTACTCCCACGCATGATGATTATGAACATAAATTATGATAATGGACGGTGGTTGATAATAATAATGATGATGTATGTATGTATTGTATGTGACAATNGCCAGCCAGCAAAAACACTTCAATGATGGTGGCCATCGTTGTTTTCTTGTTTCTGGTTTTTGTTTTCAAATTTATAATTAGCGGTTGAAAAGTAACAACAACAACAACAAAAAAGTGTTGAAAAGAAGCTACAAACAAACAAACGAAAAATAATGATTGATTCTTTTCACTCATCAAAAGAACAAATGGATTTTCCGCTTTTGGTCATTCAATGATGACAAACAAAACAAAACAAAACAATGTAGCCAGTTGAAAATATTGAAAATTCAAATAGAAAAAAAAGAAGATTTTCCATCCAGTAAATAATGAAAATTGTTATTTAATAATCAAAATGAATGTTTTTTTTCGTTAACATTGTTAATACATTTCATCATTACAATTATATTGTGTTTGCGTTTGCGTTTGCGTTTGTTTGATTGTTTGTTTGTTCAATTGGATTATCATTTTTGAGAGATCCATTCATTTTACTATTGAAATGAATGAATGAAATAATATTTGTGTGGTGGTGACCCAAAGTCTTTGTCAATTTTGATAAATAACAACAAAAGGAAGAAATCAGGGACAAATAAGAAAAGAAAATGGATAAAAAAAAGAAGTAAATAAATAACTAATCACATATCTCTCTTATCACCAAAATAAAAGAAAAGAAAAGAAAAAAAAACATTGAACAATTCAAATGATGATGATTATAATGATGATAATGGTAATCTGACCATAAGATAATGTTTTTATGTAAAATTTCTTTATCTATGGCTTATTCACTTACTCCCACGCATGATGAACATAAATTATGATAATGGACGGTGGTTGATAATAATGATTATGATGATGTATGTATTGTATGTGACAATTGTATCGAACAACAACAACAACGATAATCAATAAGTTTGTTTTTCCCATTCATTCATTGAATGAATGAATGAATGAATGAATAAATGAATGAAACAAACAAACAAATGAAAAACGGATATGCATGGATAATTTGAATGGCAAACAAACAAATAAACAAACAAAAAAGAAAATATCGACCAACATAGACAAACGATCAAATCATTATCAATCTCTCTCTCTCTCTCTCTCTCTCTCTCTCTCTCTCTCTCTCTCTCTCTGAATGTCTAAATTTTCATTCATTCATTCAAACAGACAATAATCATCATCATCATATTTTCTTTGTGAAAATGATGATAATATCATATGGCTCGATGGCGATGATGATGATTATCTGAACAACCAACAACAACAACAACAAGGAATGATTAACCATTTACCTGAAGGGAGAGAGAAAGAGAGAGACTAAATCGATTTTAATTTATTTAGGTAAAAGATCATCCAAAGATCATCATCATTGTTGTTGTTTATGATGAAGATAATTGTAATGTAAAGTTGGGTGGAAATGTAAAATCATCATCATCAGATTGTGACCACTGAAAATTGACCCAAAAGACATTGTCATTCATTATTATGTGGTTTTTTTTCTTCTTGTCCTGTTATTGTCCTGTTGTTATTGGTCCAATGATAATGATGATGATCCATACTACCACTACACTACACTATATGATCATTATTGTTTGTGAATTTTTTTTCTTTTTTTTTGAATATAAAAATCGTTAAAGTATCATTATAAATTGATATAATGATGAGTAAAGTTTTTGTTGTTTAAAAATGAAAATGCAACAGATTTTCTGCTGCTGCTGTTGCTGTTGTTTACAATCAATCAAACAGTTTTATTTGATTGACGAATTTGGTTAATTATCGATATGGATGGATAGAGTTTGACAATTTTCATTCGTTGTCATCACTATCATCGAACCTTTGTGGATTTAAATTTTCAAAATGGTTACGTTTACCTGTGTGTTTACCTGTGTGTGTTTCACTGATGTTTTTCTCAAATTGAATTTGCAAAAAAAAAAAAAGAAAACAACCACACACAACGAGCACGATATTCATCATCATAAAAGCCATTTATATAAATGAATAAACATTGTTGTTGTTGTTGTTGTTGTCTACCTGGAAAAAAACTATGGTGAACAATTGGAACGATAACAACAACAACAACAAAGCCGCTTGATGATTATTAGTTTGTCTGATGATAATTTCTGAATGATTTAATGGAACAGTAATACAACAATTGTATCATCATCATCAAAAAACCGAAATGAATATTTATCAAACATGTAGACAACAACAACAAAAAAAGAAAGAAAGAAACCATATGTGAAATGTTTGTTCGTGTGTGTGTGAAAATTCATATCATTCAAGAGAAACAACATTGTTGTTGTTGTTGAAATGAAGCCATTTTCTTTTTTTTTACATGATTTTTTTTTTCATGATGACGGTGATACATTATTATTATTATGGACTTTTTCGAAGAAAAAAAAATTATGTTTGGTTTGTCAAGGTTTTTTGAATGAAACGATTGGTACGTGTTATAACCGTAGAGACAGAGAGAGAGGGTGGTTTGTTTGAAAAGAATCATTCATTCATTCATTCATCAGCAAACAAATTGATACATTTTGTTCAAATATATCAGTAACATTCATTCATTCATCACAACCCAGAAAATATCAACCAGAAAAAAAAAGACGAATAACATCACCACATAATGGACAATTTTTTTCTTTTAAAAAATCATGATCATTATGATCATGACCACCATTCATTCATTCATTCATTCATTCATGTTTTCCTATTGATCATCATAATTTCCAATCATTTCCGATTTGTTTCTTTCTTCACTATTATCATCATTATCATCTATTGTGTGTCTCTCACTCTCTCACTCACTGTATGGCTATATATAATCATTGGCTATATTCACAAAAGTAGAAATTATAGATAACCTTGTCTTGTCGCTTGCTTGTTTTTCATTTTTGCATATGAACATATCATTTATCTTTTTGATGATATCCATTATAATCATTTTTTCTGTTTTTGGTCCGGTTTTGCTCACTCTATTTTCTCATATACCGACAGGAACGAAACAAACAAAAAACAAAACAAAACAATAGCCAATCGATATATCGATGGTCATTATCATCATCATCGAGAAAAGAAAAAAAGAATCATGGATCATTGATCATCAACGGATGATAAGAATCTTATCATCTTATCATCTTATTATTTAAACATTTTGCCTAATTGAGCATGTTTTTCATGTTGTTGTAAATCTATTGACATTTTTTGATTTATAACATTATCTGATTGGTTATAATAATGACAATAAAAATACATTCAACTCGACATTGATAATGTTGAATGATACCATCACCATAATCAAATAAAAAAACATTGACATAATCAATCAATCAACTGTCAAAACTTCTGAGTGATACAAATAGAAGAATTGTTGTTGTCTTTTTTTTTATTTGCATAATTTTGTTGATTTTTGCTTCTTATCAAAGACTCTTCAAGGACTAAATATCATGGCCATCATCATCATTGTTAATGATTGAAGATTGTTTTTGTGAAGAAAAAGAATCGAAAAAAATGAAATCAATTGTGATCAATATCCGTTTGTTCTGTCTCTCGATCATCATCGTCGTTCGTCGAATTCAATTTATCTTTTATTGATTTTTATGAAATTTAATTTCCTTCGAATTGATTTTGTTTTCCTCGTTTTTTTTGTTCGTTTTGTTCATGGGAAATCTATTTCAGAGAAAAAAAATGTCAAGTTTCTTTCTGAATGGATTTCATTCAATA